GAACCTGCATCTCCCACCTCCAAATGTCTGCCTGCTTTAGAATTCCCAGGACTTCCAAGAGAATTTACTGTTTGTTTCTGCCAACCATTGTTGATAGGCTTTCGATCTTCATTTCTTAGAGCATTTACTTTTTAAAAAGTAATTCCAATTATGAATCTGTATCTCCTATAACTTCAAGTTATTTTTCCTAAGAATCTGAAAATCATTCCTTCAAAATGTAATCATCAGGAGGATACAACTTTGTCTCCAAGTCTCAGTGTGAGGATGGAGCCTAACTTTGATAATTGCTAACTAGTGAAAACAGCTAGCCTCATCACATTTATGGTGAACAATGTAATGATTCACTTCTCTGACTCTACTTGAGCCCATATCTCTTGGTGTCCAACCCATTCTTCCTAAAAGAGACAGTCACTTCTGCACAAATCAGAACAGAGCTATCTCTATGGAATAAAAATCTTTTGTATAATTTTCACTAGTGTCCAGGTGTGTTTATCTTTGGCAGATTTGAAAAAAGAAGAACAATCCACATGATTAGTAGCAGAGTTTCCCAAGTAGAGGGACAGCCAGTAAGGGGTGAAAATACAAGAGCATTTAGCCTGAACGAGTAAAAAGGAGTCCAGTGTGGCAAGAGCAGAGGAAGTAATAGAAATATGGTGTGGTAGCTAATGTCAGAGGGTAAATGGAAAGGCAGATGGAATAGCATGTAGGCATTTATAAACTACTTGAAGGTAAGTATTTTAGCTTTTACGCTCACTGGAATGGGGAGACCACTAGAGGATAGAATAGAATATAGGAACTTATAAACTACTTAAAAGTAAGTACTTTAGCTTTTACTCTCACTGGGGTGGGGAAACCAGTGGAGGATGCGGAGTAGAGGTGGGACATGATTTTGCTTGCATTTTGCAAGGATCGTTCTGCTATGTTGAGACCAGATGTACTGGTATTGGAAGATAGGGATGGAAGTAGAAAGTTCAATTAAGAGGTTACTGAAATGAATCGTGTGAGATATGATGGTGGCTCAGTCAAGGGTGACAGCAGTGATAACATCAGATTCTGGATATACTTTAGTTCCTGATGGATTAGATAAGAGAAGTTAAAGGAAGCGTCAGGTATGATTTCAAAGTTTTTGTCTGGAGTAGCTGACAGAACAGAGTGTCTTTCAACTGAGATGTTAGCAGGCTTTGGAGGGGGCAGTGGAGAGGAGAGCCTCATAGGAGTTCAGTTTCAGACATGTTTATAACATCTGTTAGATATTTATGGGGTGACTGAGTAAGCAGTTGGGTATTCAAGTCTGGAGTTCCAGGAAGCATCTATAACACAGATTCAAATCTGGGATTCATTGGAAAATATATTAAGTTGAAAGCCATAGAGTGCATGAGGAGACCAAGGAAGTGAGTGCAGCTAAAAAGAAGAGAACCTAGAATCAAAGCCCACCAATGATGGTAGAAGTTTGGAAGAAGAGGAAGCAGCAAAAGAGAATAAGAAGGAAGTGCCAACCAGGTAGGTGGAAAGCCAAGAAAGTTTAGTAACCTGGAAACCCAGAGAAGAAAGGTTTATCAAGGAAGAGCAAATGACCAACTGTTGCTGCAAAATTAGGACTGAGAAGTGACCATTAGATGTGAAGGTTATTGGTTATCTTGACAGTAGTAGTCTGAATGTAGTGGGGGTAGTGAAAGTCTAAGAGGAAGCAGTGTGAGAAAGAATAAGAGGCAGGAATTGGGAAGAGTATGGACAATTTTTTTGAGGAGTTTCCTTGCAAAGAGAAGCAGACAAATGTATCAGCCAGCAGTGGAAAAAATGAAGTTCAGAGTTGGCTCTTAACAGGTGTGTATTACTGATAACAGTAATGATACTTGCATCCACATCCTAAATTATTTTCAAACAAGGTATTTTGATGGGCCTTTCTACATGCAAAATGTAAACAATCATCATTGTTGTCCTCAATTGATAGATGAAGAAACAAAAAGCGTGAACACAGAAAGGTAAGTAACTTTCACACTTCAGCCCAGAAAGAGAAATAACCTGTTTCTACAGATAAAAAGTGTACATTATAAAATAGCAATCTCTCTCAAGTAGAGTTAAAGTTAGTATATTGTCTAACAACCTGAATGGTTATATCCAAGGGAGTTACTGAGAACCCAGCCATGACTGTGTACACACAAGTGCCTACATTTTGCCTGTGCCCACACCAAGATACATCATCTACATAATTTTCAAATATGCTGTGTTGTTCTCCCAGTTTCATGGTAGGTAACTTTATCAGTTAAAATATGGGGAACTGGAAGAAAGCTTTTTAAAGGGCTAGGAAAGTGAGAGAAGCAATCTCAGGTGTCACTAGGAGTGCAGTCAGAACAGAAGCAACTGGGGCAGGGGTGTATGTCAGTATGCAGGCGAGTGGTCTAAGTTGCATGTGTGGCCATATGTACTCAATACAGGTTTGTAGGAGGATTTTCTTCACTGCTTTAGAACTTGACTAGGGTGCTTGGAATCTCCAGGTTGGTCTATGATTTTATAAAAGTTAATATAGATGGATGATATGAATTAGCATACTCTTGTTTGTTGTGTCTTTATACACTGCAAAATCTGGACACTCTCATGCACTGATCTTGCTCCTAATCATTTTGTTCATCAACTATTAAGCAAAATATTATATTATGTACTATGGGATTTTCAAAGACAACTGTTCCTGTTGTCAAAGAACCTAATTTCTACTAAAAAAAAAAAAATATATATATATATATATATATATATATATATATATATATAAATAGCTATAGGATACAAAGTTCTACAAGAGAAGTATTAAAATTCTACTAGATTAATTCACAAGAGGAAGTGCTTATTTTGCTTTGGTTAATCAAAAAAAATTTCATGAAAAAGACATTTGAGGAGTGGCTTGGAATTTGTGTGGAATTTGAATGTGAAGAGATAGAAACAAGGTTATTTCAGTGGGAACAGTGCAAATAAAAGAGTGATGTGAAAGTGTAGTAGATATGGAAAATGTAAATCCTTAAATTTGGCAAAGTATGATGCTCTGATTTGATTCCGAACTCTGCCTTGACTGCTGAGGGGCTGTGAAAGGGCCATTCAACTGGCCACAGAAAGAGAAATAAAAAATATCTTGAATGCTTACAACTACCCCATATATAAATATATATATATATATATATATATATATATATATATATATATTATTTATACACATATATATGCTTTATATACATTTGTTTTTTGATGACAACATGAATTCAACTAAAAAACATTACTGAATTATTCATTTATTATATATTTCTTTTTTAAAATATATTTTTTAGTTGTGATTGGACACAATACCTTTATTTAATTATTTATATATGGTTATGTGGTACTGAGGATCAAACCCAGCGCCTCACATGTGCTAGGCAAGTGCTCTACCGCTGAGCCACAACCCCAGCCCCTATTATGTACTGGAGTTGTGTGTTCAAAAAGGCTGATGGGTTCTGGAGTGAAGACAAACTGTAAGGGACTCCCCCTGAAATTAATGGGAATTTCCTGATGGCTTGTTTTTCTCTAGGATTTGAAACAGTTCCTTTTCAAATTAAAGTTTTAAATCTCTGAACTTCCTCATAATGAGAATAACAACTTTCTCCTGCTGAGAGGACTGACACCACGGAAATTAAGGATGATATATACTCTGGCAAAGTACAGCCTAGCTAAAATCTACATGTGAGCATAACCTGGCTTTTGTGTCTATCAATTGCAACTGCTTCTGTGGGAAAGACAAAGAAGCAAGCAAACTAGGTGCTTCTCCCCATTTTAATCAAACTGCATCACAATTCATTTTTCCTTTTTACCATCATTTGCCTATATTTTTATGTGGGTGCCTGGGATCCAGGCAGGGTCCTGGGGTAGGCTAAGTGAGAATAACAAAACCTTTACGTGAACTCAATTGTGTGTGTTGTGCTGTAGAAGTCTTGAGTTTGTTTCCTTATCCCTGGAGTGTGGACTATAAAAACCAACCATGGTTTGACGATTAGGAAAACAACTGGCACATTTTAGGTGCACAGCAAATGAGAAGAAGCATAAAAAGAAAAGATAAAAATAAGCATAAAGGCGAAATTATAATCCACCTTGAATACCGAATTAAAGAACTAGTGCTTTTACTTTAGGCATGGTTGTTACTGAAAGGTTGTTTGAACGACAAGAAGTCAAGAAGTAACACAAGGTATTGCAGCGGCGTTGGCAGTGCTCTCAACGTGGCATAACGAGGCATTAGCAGTGAAATTCTGGAGTATTTGGGGGTATCTAACAACAGGACTTCGCCTTTATTGTATAAGGACTGTAAAGTAACAAAGATCGATATTTCGATCTAGGTTGCTGTTAACAACAAAAAGTAAACAGGGATATTAAGTTCACTTTGAGCTTAAATCCTGAAATTATTGTGAACTGAACAAGGAAGGGTACAAAAACCGCTGAACATGATTTGTGCTAAAACAAGAATCCAGAAAATTCGCTCATTCTCCCAAAACCTACGAATTCTTAAAATCAAGCCTTTAGACCTTTCATTTTTTAATTAAAAAAGAAAATACAAGAAAAACAAAACAACAACAACAAAAACCCGGCGGCATAATCCGTTATTGGGACACCATACGACTGGCTGCTATCATGGACACGACACACTCCTTCTGGCCCTAAGATTCCGCGCCCGGTGATGTCACTACGACGCGCGGCGCGCTCCTGCGTCTCGGCAGACGTGGTACGTCATTACCAACGAGGGGCAGCAGGCGGGGCGACCCTCTAACGTCCTCGCTCGCTCCCTAGTGGCAACTGGTTTCGAGGCCCAACGCTGATCGCTTAGTCCTCATTCTTCCTTCAGTCTGGATCAGCGCATGCGTCCCACTTCTTGCCTGACCCAAAGCCGATCGAAGGGCGACGCCTTGAGGTTAAACCGAGGAGGTGCGGGAGGCGGGCCCGCGCCGGCGCAGTATTCTTGGAGAAGCCGGGGTTCTTGGCGGCCGAAACAGGTACCATGGCGGAGGGGCAGGTGATCGGCGAAGTGCCTTCGGCCTCTGACAGTAAATCAGATAAAACCTCCAAGGTCGCCGCAGAGTCCCTAGACTCCGGGGACTACGACAGCAACTGCTTGTTCTGTCGGATTGCGAGGCAACAGGAGACCAGCACCGAACTCCTGCCCTGTGAGGTGGGTGGACGTCCGACCGCCCCTCGGAGCTCCGGGAGGGAGGACTAGCCGGTGTGGACCGGGTGGGGAGGATCCGGATCACCGTGCAGAGCTCGGGAGGCAGAGCGGCTGTGTGGACCAGCTGGGGAAGGCAGGGTGTTGTGTGAAGGACCCTGACTTCTCTCGGGAGACCCCCGGAGTGTCTCCAACAAGACACAGTTCCCAGGGGAGAAAAAGTAATGATAGAGCTGCAGGTAGCGAGATTCTTGGCATAAAAGAGCATTTGGGGACCTTTGTTTTTATTACAGGAATTCTTTTTTCCTCCTTTCTAATTAGAGATCTTAAATTCTGAGCACTCTTCATAACCAACACCGACGAGAAATCTAGTAGAAAACAGATAATGCCAAAATGTTAGATTAGCTGAAAATCGGCTGGGGTTGAGGGCAGTGGGTCTGAAGTCCAACTTAATACTTAATAGCCTCTGATTTCTACTGAAGTGATATCAGTTGGGATATGTGGCAATTTTCAGACTGACTTTGCTCAGATATTTTCCGAGATATATGGTATACACCGTATACAACCTGTTCTACTTGTTAAAAAAAAATCTTTTGAGGAAATAAGCTCCCAAGATTGTGTAGTGATCAATCTTTAATTCGCTGCACTGAGAGGTGGTTTTGGAGTCAGTGGTGGACAAGATAAAAGGACAGTCTGCCTGTAGGTTTTATAATTTAAAGGGTGGAATGCATACAGAGGTGGCAGCCAATTACAGTGCCCTGTGCTGTGGTCAGGTGGTTTTACAGTATTTTGTAAGCTTGTGGGAGGGGCATCTAACCCAGGTTTGAGAGCTAAGGGAGGAATTTCCAGAGGAATTGAGACATAGGTAGGAGAGCAACTGAAGTGCAGTGGTGAGACAGAAGGCAGTTTCAGTTGATTGAGAAGAATCTGAGGGGAGTGTGAATATCAAATATAGTCAGCTTTCACAGAAATTTGGCAAACAGGAGGAGTTGGGGCTTAGGAGAAAGGCCCTGATTTCACTTCCCAAGTGCCCTGTCCCAACACACAAAGGAACTAATTACCTAGTATTTAATTTGTATGTTTTTCACTATATGTGTATAATATATTTACAGTGTATTCATGTTATATTCATTATAAACATCTAGAAGTTATTGGGTTCATATGAAGTGGGGTATACTAATAATTTATATATACAGAGATCACTTGATTTGTTGGTAAGTTACCAACATCATGTAGACTTTAGTCTGGGAAACTATCCAGCAGAAGCTAAAGAAGATTACTTACCACATAGACTTCTATACAATGTTTTCTTACCATGTTCTGCAGAATTGGACTAATCAAAGGTTAAATCATGCATTCTCATCAGGGATTTTATCTATTCCCAAGGGGGTAAAAATTGGTTTTTGTTGTGGTGGGGGAAATATGTTACTCTTCTTATATAGGAAAATCCTATGCACAGAATCTATGCACAGATTTGCATAGAATGCATAAACAGATAAATGATATATCTATGGTATTAAAATCCTATGAATGTCTTAAAAGGATCCTAGAGTGGCAATAATGGGAAAATGGTTAAACAGTACTGGATTAGATTTCATCATGTTTGAGCTCATACTGAGGAAATTTTAGTATTAATATAACTCCTCCATCTTTGATAATCAAAGTTGTTCTAAAACCTTAGATGACATGGTATTCAAATGTTCTTCCAAATGTTATTACTTTTTATTTGCTTTAGGTATCAGGGCATTGTTTGTGGAAAGAAAAGCTATTCTAGCTATTTTAAACAGAAATAGACTTAATGTATGGAATTACTGCTAGAAAAAAATCATTGGAAGGTCTAGAGGAGTGGATTCTAGTAGAATAGTCTCCAAAAATAACATCCAGAACATCACTGCAGAATCTTTCACAAGATAATCTTCCTATGCTTCTTGCTAGTTTTATTTTTGTTATTTGTTCTTTTTAGTTATAGATGGCAATAGAATATATTTTCACATGTCATACATTCATAGTGTATAATTTCCCATTCCCGTGGTTGCACATGATGTGGAGTTTACTCCAGTTGTGTATTCATATGTTAACATAGGTTAACATAGGAAATTTACGTCCGATTCATTATACTGTTTTTCTCATTCCCACCCCCCTCCCTTCCTCTCACTACCCCTGTCTAGTCCGGTCGCACCAATTTGCAAATTTGCAGTCCCACCAGCAGTGTATGAGTGTACCTTTTCCCCCACATCCTGGCCAACATTTATTGTTACTTGTATTCTTGAGAATTGCCATTCTGACTGGGGTGAGATGAAATCTCAATGTAGTTTTTTTTTTTTTTTTTCTTAAAGAGAGAGAGAGAGAGAGAGAAAGAGAGAGAATTTTTTAATATTTATTTTTTAGTTTTTCGGCGGACACAACAACTTTGTTTGTATGCGGTGCTGAGGATCGAACCTGGGCCGCACGCATGCCAGGCGAGCGTACTACCGCTTGAGCCACATCACCAGCCCCCCGCTCAATGTAGTTTTAATTTGCATTTCTCTAATTGCTAAAGATGTTGAACCTTTTTTCATCTACTTATTGACCATTCAAATTTCTTCACTTCTGTGAAGTGTCTTTTCAGTTCCTTTGCCTGTTTATTGATTGGTTATTTGTTTTTTGGTATTAATTTTTTTTTAATTCTTTATATATCCTGGTGATTAATGCTGTATCTGAGGTGTATAGGTGGCAAAGATTTTCTTCCATTCTGTAGGCTCTCTCTTCATGTTCTTGATTGTTACCTTTGCTATGAAGAAGCTTTTTAGTTTGATACAATCCCATTTATTTATTCTTGATTTTACTTCTTGTGCTTTCAGAATCTTGTTGAGGAATTTGGTTCCTGAGCCAAATGATGGAGATTTGGGCCTACATTTTCTTCTAGTAGGTTTAGGGTCTCTGGTCTAATGCAAATGGCAAAAATTTTCTCCCGTTCTGTAGGCTCCTTGCTAGTTTTAAAATATTAGGAATATATCATAGAAATAGTTGCATGAGTATATAGAGATTATTATTGTTCCTTTTTATAACCAAATAATACTTCATTATATGGATTTATCACAATTTATTCAGCCACTCTTCTAGTTGAATTATGGATCTTCGTGTTATTTTCATTCTCTCATCATAAATCTCACTGCAAAGAATAATTTTTTACTTATATAATTTCATATTTTTTGGCAGCATATCTTTGGAATAGAAGTATAGTCTTAAAATAGAGATCCAAATAGTGGCTCAACCAATAGTAGCAATGAGAGAGAGTATGACATCAGAGAGCCAATTTCAATATGTTTGAAATCTTGGTGGAAATCTAATTTAATCACTAATGTCATTAAGTTTCTTTGCTTTTGATAGGACTTTTTTCTATTCCTGGTGCTGATCACAGATATGTTGATGGTAGTAGTTGTTGTTTTTTTAAAATTAGAATTAGGAAAACAAATTATATGTAATAATACATAAAATATTTCAAAATAGAGGTTTGGGAGATTTACAGAGAACTGAGTATTCTGGTCATATAGCTGAGTCATAGAGTATGAAACAGCAGGTATATATAGGAATGTTTTTTTCTGCTAATATCCTTTAGACTGACATTTTCTAGTTTTATTAATCCAAAAAATGTTACTCCTGCTTTGAGGCAGAATTCAGTTTTATCATCTCAAACTAATTCTAATCAGGATGTATTCTGAACCAGAAGGAATTGCCTCTGAATTTTTAAAAATCAATGTCATAATTGAGGGGAAATAAAAATATGAAATTGTGTTATCAACTATGATCAACTAATCTGGGCTATGTTAGTATGGCAATTTTGTGTTGCAAGATTTGATGGCCAGTACTACTTGTTTCTTAGCTGAAAGAAAAAATGGAAAACTTTAAACAAGAACATTGTGATCCTTTACCTTATCCCTTTATAAAATAATCCATGTATATCAATATTTAAATTTATCACTAGACAGCAAAACCATAATAAAAAAAATAGATAAACTGGTATAATTATCGTGTTTGCCATATTAGGATAATAATGAGATTACTGAAATGAATTTGAGACCCTCATTCAAATTGAATTTTTTCAATGAATTTGGGCTTTTGGAATGGAGAATAATGAGCAACTGTGCATTTGGGAAATTTTACTGAGGAAACTCTGCTTATTGATACTGATTTTTTAAAATCTAAGATTGATTAAAGTTCTGTAAGAAAGATAGATTTTTCTCTTGTAAAAGCCGAAATTTTAAGGCTTTTTATTTGGAATAAATGATCATCTCATGTCAGAAGTTATGCTTGTTTTTATATACTTAGTACATAATCATAAAATTGCTCAGTATGGCTTTTTTTTTTTTTTTTTGTAACATGCATACCATTTTCCTTTCAGAGGTTTATGATGTTTAAGTTATGCCAGAATAGTGTTAGGAAATTATTTTCTAAATTTCACTAACAAATACTTTTTTTTTCACTTTAGAATGAAGACCTTGTTTGCTTCAAAGATATAAAACCAGCAGCACCTCATCATTATCTTGTAGTGCCAAAGAAGCATATTAGAAATTGCAATGATCTAAAGAGAGAACAAATAGAATTGGGTAAGATGATGGCACTGTTATTCATAGGTTTATCATCTTGAATTGGTATCAGCAATGGTAGTGACAATTAAAATATCTAGCTAGATGGAAATGGAAGGAGACCCTCATTGTTACACAAAATTACATATAAGAGGTTGTGAGGGGAATGGGAAAAAAACAAGGAGAGAAATGAATTACAGTAGATGGGGTAGAGAGAGAAGATGGGAGGGGAGGGGAGGGGGGATAGTAGAGGATAGGAAAGGTAGCAGAATACAACAGTTACTAATATGGCATTATGTAAAAATGTGGATGTGTAACCGATGTGATTCTGCAATCTGTATTTGGGGTAAAAATGGGAGTTCATAACCCACTTGAATCTAATGTATGAAATATGATATGTCAAGAGCTTTGTAATGTTTTGAACAACCAATAAAAAAAAATATATCTAGCTAGGATGAAAAGGGTCCATTATGACTGTTTGGAACTTTTTATTATAAAAAATTTCAAAATGTATATAAAAATAGAGAGAACTGTATAGTTCCCATGTATTCATCACTTAGCTTCAGTATTTATTAACTTGTGGTCATTTTTTCATGTATTAACATCCCAGAGGTGACTTGAAGCAAACACATCATGTTATTTAATATTTAAATTTTTTCAAAGATAATGTTTCTCTTTGAATTTTTAAAAATGTTGGCATTTCTTGAGTCTGCAAATGGAAAGTGCTATGAAAAAAATTAAACAAACAAGTTACAATATGGCATATTGTCTCATAGTAAGATCAGGTTTATACTCCATTAAGATCAATCACTAATGTAGATGAATTAGCAATAATTTAATTATGAGATTTGAGTGATGAACTTAGTTTCTGAAAAGGAGATTCTGAATTTTGCTTCTTACAGAATTATTCTGTATTTTCCAACTTGTACCTTCTGTGACTCGTCAGCTATCATTTCCTAAAACATTCCTAAGTTCACTTCAAAATGTAATTTGTAGATTTTGTCATCAGGGTTTGGGATTAGTTTGGTTAATACTGAAAGGTACCCTACAAGATAGATAAATAAATGGAAATTTTGATGTGGATATAGTTAATTTAGGCTAGACTTGCCAGTTTTTAAATTGTTGTTTCTGGATACTACAAAGATTTTTAATATTTGAAGTTCTTTTAGTACTTTTGAGAAACATACAGGTTTATACCAGAAGATAGCAGTTGAGCTTATAAAGATCAGATTTAACTTCATTTATTTATTTATTTGGTACTGGGAATTGAACCCAGGGGTGCTTGGTGCTTTGCTACTAAGCTACATCCCCAGTCCCCTGCCCGTTTTTTTTTTTTTTTTTTTTTTGGTACTGGGGATTGAATTTGGGGCACTTAACCACTGATCCACATCCCCAGCCCTTTTTTATTTTTTTGTTTTTTGAGACAGGGTCTTGTTAAGTTACTCAAGGCCTCACTAAGTTGTTGAGACTGGCTTTGAATTTGAGATCCTCTTGCCTTAGCCTCCCTAGCTGCTGGGATTACAGTTGCATGCCACTGTGCCTGCCAGTCCTTTTTTATTTTATTTTTTTAGAATTTGAGACAGGGTCTCTGTAATTTGTACTTGTGATCCTTCTCCCTTACCATCACAAGTCGCTGGGATTAGAGGCATGTGCCTCTGTATCCTGCAGATTTAACCTAAATTTACCTGAAATTGAAACATTCTAGTATTTCTTTGGTATTAAAAGTTTCCATTTCATTCTTGTGATAGTTTCTTAGACATTATATTTTCTTTAGAATTTTTGGAACTTTTCTATTTATTTTTAAGGTAGAGATAGGTTTGGGAAAATAGAAGCTGCTGTTGTAACTAGTTTTATAACTGTTGCATATCAAATGTTACCAATTTTTAAGCAGCTGGTGGGTATTTGGGATTTCACTATGTTTTTCTCTCTACTTTTATATATATTTGAATATTTCCATATTGAAATCTTCACAGTAGTGATTAATTTTTTTATATAATCTGTAAAGGTAGAGAAGTATTAAGCATATGGAGGAGCTCAGTAATACTATCAAGTCTAGTGACCATTACTGACATTTATAGAATACCACTTAGCTGCAGAATACACATTTCTTGAAGAGCACATATTCACATTCACCAAAGTACAGTATATTCTAATCAGTAAAATATTTTCATATTGCAAATGCTTGAAGTTTAATAAAATGTCATCTGAAGATAATGAAATTAAATTGTAGAAATAACAAAACCTGAACTAAATATTTATAAATTAAAGAACATATTTCTAAATATTTCCAAATATATATATACACACACACACACATACTTATATTGCACACTTCTAAGTAATTCCTAAATATGTCAAAGAAGAAATAATTTTGAGTGGATTGGTCATAAAAATACAACATGTTAGAATTTGTGGGGTGCTGGTAAAGTGGTACCTAGGAGAAAGTTTATGCTTTAAATGCTCATATTAGAAAAGGAAGTTTAAAACCAATGACTTCAGTTACCACTTTCAGATGTTAGAAAGAGGCAAGCAAATCAACCCAAAATAAGTATAAAAAATGAAATAATAAAGAGTATATATCAATGAAATACAGATAGCAGATTTTATTTCATGTATTTTGAAGAATTTGATTTTATGTAAATATATAATTAGGATTGTCATATCTTCTCAGTAAGTTGATTATTTAAATTATAAAATATCTCTTTATGGAAATATTCTTTGAGTCTATTTTGTGTGATAATTTAGCTGTTTCTACTTTATTATTTACTGTTTGCATTGCATATTATTTTCTACTTTCAACCAAATGCATATTTATATTTTAATACTTGAAAACAAATATGGTTGAATCTTGTATTTTGTTAAAATATAAAATCTCTTAATTGGAATGTTTAGCCCATTGACTTTTAGTGTAACCATTGATATCATTGGGTTTAGCTCTACTATTGTGCCATTTGTCCCATTTGTTATATGTTGCTTTATATCTTATTTTTCACTTTTGCTTTTTCATATTTCTCTTTAATTTATCTGTTGTCATATTTACTGCTTTTTAAAAAATATTCCTTTTTTAGATGTTGATGGACTTTTATTTTATTCTTTTATTTATATGTGGTGCTGAGAATTAAACCCAATTCCTTATACATGCTAGGCAAGTGCTCTACCACTGAGCCATAACCCCAGCCCTCCCCCCCCACATTTACTAGTTTTTATATTTCTTTATTTAGTGGTTGCTTTAGAGAGGTTATAATACACATTCTTTAATTACCAGGCCTTGCTTAATACAGGCATTATATCAATTCATTTAAAATGTAAGAAACTGGTAGTCTCCCAGTGCAAGCCTGATTTAGAGAAGTAAATATTAGCAGTTTAGTAAGCCTCAATATAACAGCTGTCCTTTGTTGAATCTCTTACTTCTTCCCCTTTTAGATGCATGGTTATAGTATGTATAGGCTTAAGGTTTCCCATTATACTTTGAAGACCCAGGCTACCAACGTTTTTCTAATAGGGAGACTTCTTTTTCCCACTTTAGGCCATTAAAAAAAAAAAAGATGAAAAATGATATGACATAGAAATTGGAAGTCAAAATCATTATATAAATGTTTAACTAGTAAAGACTAGGATCACTTGAAGGGATATCTTATTTCTAATTTGGACTTAAAGACAAATTTGGTTTTTCTGTCTTTTAAAAAATTTGTTTTTGAATTGACAAAAATGTACATGTTTATTTTATATAAGATGATGTCTTAAAATATGTATACATTATGAAATGAGTAAATTGAGCTAATTAACATATACATTAACTCATATGCCATTTTTTGGTGATGAGAAAACTTAAAATCTACTATCATTTTTAAGGATAACAGTACATTCTCATCATGTTGTATGAACTTACTTCTTTTAATTGAGGTTTTGTGTTGTTTGACCAACATCTCCCAACCCTACCCCGCCTCCAGCCCCTAATAACCGCCATTCTACTCTGTTTCTATGAGTTTAGCTTTTTTAGATTTGATATTTAAGTGAGATCATACACTATTCAGCTTTCTGTACCTTGCTTATTTTACTGAGCAAGATGTCCTCTAAGCTCATCCATGTTGTCACACGCCAGAATTTCTTTCTTTTTAAAGCTCAATATCATTTTATTGTGTGTGTATATATACATATATACGTATATGTGATATTTTCTTTATCCATTCATCTGATGGTGGACACTTAGGTTAATTCTGTATTTTGCATATTGTGGATAATGCTGTGGTGAACATGCTATCTTTTTTCTTAATTCAATTTCTGTATAATTACCTATTCTCTTTATTAAAATAGGCATCACTATAATGTTCTAAATAGCCACTTGATAATATCTCTCAACTGCTTTCCAAAGCCAGCTTATGTGTGTAATATTTTGTGATAATGATAATGCACTAGAGCTCAATTTGAATATTCATTTCGGTTGTCGATGAACAGATTTTTTGGTGACTTAAAGCTATTGAATGTGTCTCTAAATGTTTCCCCATTTGACGTGACTTTTGACCAGAACCCCAAAACTTAAGATTAATAACAATTTAGTGAACTTAACGTCTCCTATAGTCTAATGTTTCTTTCCTGTTTTATAGTGGAAAACATGGTAACTGTTGGAAAGACCATTCTTAAAAATAACAATTTCACTGACTTTTCAAATATGAGGTATGTATACATCAGATAGAAACTAACATTTTGCATTATTGATTTTTCTGACATGTTATTTTTCATGAAAAAGGGAACAGCAGTTACAGAATTTTGGTTTAAGTACATTTTTTCCTGAAAGTGAGAAATATAGTTCATATAATAAAAATTTGATAAAACTTCTTCCTCTCATGTCTTAATATCTTCCAAAAATATCCACTTAATAGTTTAGATAGACAAATATATATAAACAATGGGTAGTTAAAATAGTTATGAGTCCTTTTTTTCTTTATTCTGTTTGGGATTTCTATAAAAATGTGTATAAAATGAATTTTATTAGACCAATCTTTATTTTTGTGATTTAAAAAGACATTATTAACTCTGTACAACCAGAGATACAAAAAATTGTACTCTATATGTGTAATATGAATTGTAATGCATTCTATTATCATATATAACAAATTAAAATTAAAAAATGATAAAGAATACATTATTAGACTTCTGGCATGAAATTAAATTGGATTTATTGCCTGCTAATTTGAACTCTGGCATTTGCCAATCTGAGCAAAAACACATAGTGTTCAATTAACTGTTTTAATTAATTTAGATGATAGTATTCTTTTTAAAAAGATTTCTGACTTTGTCCTGTGTGATGTAGGCAGTACCAAGGCAAGGTATAGTAGAGATACTTTTCTAACACTTCTGAACCAGAATTCAGAATTCTAATACTATCCATGTCTAATACTATCCAAGTGTACTGTACTTGTACTAGCTGTGTCATTTTAGACAAGTCATTTTAGTTATCCACAATAATACTGCTCTACCTACTTGTATACTAATGAGATTATGTGTATGAAGATCCTCTGAAAACTGTTAAGCATTATCCTAATGTGGTAATGACAAGTAACATATGGTATTTAAGATCTTCTGGCCTGAAGAAACATGTTCCTTTCTCAGTTTTGGAACTGCTTATTAGAAAAAAGAATACTGGATAAGGAGTCAAGATCTCTGAAATTTACTCCTAGCTCCACCATATTTTAATTTTGTGGCCTTGGGAAGAGTCTTAACCTTTTTTTTTTGAGAAAGAGTCTGGCTGTGTTGCCCAGGCTGGTCTCAAACTCCTGGGATCACGTGATCTTTCTTCCTCTGCCTCCCAACTAGCTGGGGCTATAGGCATGAACCATTGTGCTCAGCTCTTAAGCTTTTAATCTTTGCTTACCCATCTTTAAAGTGAAATTGAAAATGGATTTTTAAGAGGTTAAATCATACTTATGAATAATTATCATCTGACTTATTTTTAGTATTAAATTTAGGTGATCAAAGTTTTTTTTTTTTTTTAACAAGATGATATGATTGATATAACTTTTGAAATATTGGTTCGCAAAGAAATGCCTGAGTACTTTATTACAGGAGAAAGCATGCCATCTACTGGTTATACCTTGGAATAAAGTAACACTACTACTTGTGTGCCCAAAAACTTTATTAGATTCATTACAGGAACATATCTTAGAATTCAAACTTAATGTTATAAGGACTGAACTGATAAGGAGTAATGTCAGCTCAGAATTTATAAAGGTTATTCTGAGATATAATGTGCTATTAAGCCCTTCCTTGTTAAAGAGTTTATTACTATGAACTTGAACATGAAAAGAAGAGGAACTGTGTGAATACTATGAAGTGTGTAAAGAAATATACTAAAAGAGATAATGTGAGTGGTAGTCTTTCTACTTTAGGTAACGTATTTTGTATATCTTTTATATGTCATTTAACCTATAAATTGTTTTTAATTATTGTAGAGCTGATTTGTCAATCATTTCTTTCTTCTCTGTTTTAGGATGGGTTTCCATGTGCCACCATTCTGTTCCATTTCCCACTTGCACCTTCATGTTCTGGCACCAGTCAGTCAGTTTGGCTTCTTATCCAAGTTGGTTTATAGAATAAATTCCTATTGGTTTATCACAGTAAGTGTTATTGTATCAAGAATATGCAAGCATATTGGTTTATAGAATAAATTCCTATTGGTTTATCACAGTAAGTGTTATTGTATCAAGAATATGCAAGCATATTTAAAATATTTGTCCTTTTGTTGAAGCTTTTCTTGCAAGATTAGGCACTTATAGCTTGCAGTAGCTTGAACACCTGTTTTAACAAACTGCTTTGTATATATTCAAAGTAATATTTTTACTTTGGGGGATTTTGTAGTCATCAGGTCTATAGGGAGAGAAGCTATGGCTAATCTCTCCATTGCAAGTGGGGTATATGATATAGAAAAGCAAGACATTAAGAATTTAGACTTTGGAGTCAGATTTGAATACAAATTCTGGCTCCATTGCTTACTTAAGGAATCAGGTACAGATTACTTTTTTTTTTTTTTTTTTTGCTGATGTTGAACCTAGGGCCTGGTGCACGCTATACAAGTATTATACCACTGAGTAACGTCCAAAGCCCAGGTTTAAGTTCTGTATTACCTGTCCTTAGGGTTAATAAAAGAGATGATGAGATGATTTCTGTATAAAGCGCTTAAATCAGTACTTTGTAAGGCTGAGAGTAAGGTCATTGGTAGAACGTTTGCCTAGCATTTGTTAGGCTCTGGATTCAATTGCTAGTATTGCCAATAAATAAATAGTACCTTGCAGATAGTACTCAGTAACTAAGTTAGGTACTGTTTCTACTATAATCAACATCAATATAGAAACCGATTTTTTGTAGTTTTGTGTGTGTTTGGATGTGGTTACTGGAGATCAAACCCAGGGCTTTGTGCATGCTAGGGAAGCAGTGTTTCACTGAGTTATGTCCCCAGCCCTTTTTATTTTTTTATTTTAAGACAAGGTCTTGTTAAGTTGCCTAGGCTGATCTTGAATTTGGAATTTTCCTATCTTAGGTTCCCAAGTAGCTGGAATTAAAAGCATGTGCCACCACCATGCTGGGCAAGTTTTTATAATATTTGTAAAGATTTTTTAACTTTATTTTATTCATTTATTTTATTATTTTTAGAAGTACCGTGTGCTAACCGATTGCGCCACTGGAGCACCTATTTTATTATTTTTAAAACAGGTCAAAGGTTATACATATTTAATAGTAATGTCTACTTTACAATTACAAAATCATGTCCATTGTAGACATTTTTTTATTATTAATTTTTTAAATTTAAAATGACAGTGGAATGCATTACAATACATATTACACATATAGAGCACAAATTTTTCATTATCTCTGGTTGTATACAAAGTATATCACACCAATTTGTGTCTTCATACATGTACTTTGGATGATGATGTCCATCACATTCCAACATCATTTCTAACCCCATGTCCCCTCCCTTCCCCTTCCACCCCTCTGCCCTATCTAAAGTTTGTCTATTCCTCCCATGCTCCCCCTCCCTACCCTACTATGAATCCTTATATCAGAGAATCCTTATATCAGAGAAAACATTCGGCATTTGTTTTTTTGGGATTGGCTAACTACACTTAGCATTATCTTCATCTGTTTACCTGCAAATGCCATGATTTTATTCTCTTTTATTGCTAAGTAATATTCCATTGTGTATATGTGCCACATTTTAATCCAATCATCTGCTGAAGGACATCTAGGTTGGTTCCACAGTTTAGCTATTGTGAATTGTGCTGCTATAAACACTGATGTGGCTGTGTCTCTGTAGTATGCTGTTTTTAAGTCCTTTGAATATAAACTGAGGAGTCGGATAGCTGGGTCGAATAGTGGTTCATTCCCATTTTTCCAAGGAATCTCCATACTGCTTTCCATATTGATTGTACCATTTTGCAGTCCCACTAGCAATGTATGAGTGTGCTTTTTCCCCCACATCCTCGCCAACACTTATTGTTGTTTGTATTCTTAATAGCTGCCATTCTGACTGGAGTGAGATGAAATCTTAGAGTAATTTTGATTTGCATTCTCTAATTGCTAGAGAAAATGAACATTTTTTCATATATTTGTTGATTGATTATATATCATCTTCTGTGATTGTATATCATCTTCTGTGAGGTTATCTGGTTTTTTTTTTATGTGGTGCTAAGGATTGAACCCAGTGCCTCACACTTGCTAGGCAACTGTTTTACCACTGAGCTACAACCCCAGCCCCAGTTTTTGTAATTTTTGATTTTCAGTTTAAACTCCATAGAAAACTACTAAGAAAAGGACTTTAGTACTAGTGTTAACTACCTGATCTGTGGTTGAATCTTGCAGCCTAAAATATTTGCAGAATCATGTTTGCTGAGTCAATAAGTAAAAGAAAAAAATTCAGTTATTTATAGGCTGGTGGTCTGACAGTTTCCTTAGACTGTGGTCTCTCTGGGATACTTGACCAGTAGACTCTGATCTCTCTGGGATACTTGACCAGTAATTTACCAGGCTCTTGTTTTTTGTGTCCATTATCATAAGATGACTGACAGTTACTGTATCTGAATAATCAAATAGTATTTATTTGCCATTAGTCAATGAATGATAGTATTCTAATAGTGCAGAAGAAATTAAAAAGCCTCAGATTTCTAGAAACTTCAAATTTCAAACATATCTCTCTCTTCAACATATCCAGATGATTTTATTTAGTATATTTAAGATTGTGTGTGTTTGTGTGTGTGTGTGTGTGTGTGTGTGTGTGTGTGTACTTGAAATAAAGTTGCGTGTTCAACAGGGCAGCACTTGTGGTCTCTAAAAATCATATAGCCTTTAAAAAATTTTACAAATGGATTCCCTCCTTCCCTCCCTTCTTTCCTCCCTTCCTCCTTCCCTTCCTTCCTTCCTTCCTTCCTTCCTATCTCTGTTTCTACTTGTCTATAAGATTTTGATTTGTGGTAAAAATTTAATTAAACCACATTTTGGGAATGGAGAGTATAGCTTAATAATAGAATGTATTTTCTTTCATGAAAGTTTTTAGTTGGCAAACATGAATAAACAAAATTTTAAGATCTGTTAATGGTTTATCCTGGGAATCTAAATTCTTTAATCTGTATTCTCAGTAGTATATTATGAGACTTAAAAAAAGATAAATATATTAAAGTTTATTCTAAAATATCTTATATAAAGTGTTCCAGATTATGAAGGAAGATTGAGAAAGGCTCTCTGAAATGATGTAACTTTAGTTTACTTTCAAAAATAGACTTTATTTTTTAGAGCAGGTTTAGGGTGTCAGTAAAATTGAATGCAAAATACAGAGTTCCCATATACCCTGTGCTTGCACATATGTGCAATTTTCCCCATTATCACATTCCCATCACAGTGGTTCATTTATTATAATGAGTGAATCAACATGATCTATCATTATTACTCAAAGTTTACTTTAGGGTTCACTCTTTATGTTCTACATTCTGTGGGTTTTGACAGATGTATGACATTTTCTCACTAATGTAATATCATTCAGAATTTTCTATTCTCTGCCTATTCATCCCCTTGATTCACTGACAACCATTGATTTTTTTTTTAATATTACCATAGTTTTGCCTTTTCATAAGGTCTTATAGTTGGAATCACACAGTACATAGCCTTTTCAGATTGACTTCTTTCTCTTAGTAATAACATTTAAGTTTCTTTCATATCCACATTATTTTTTAAAACTTTATTTTCCATTTCTTATTGATGCTTTTTAATGAATATATAATATAGTTTATAAAATCTGCCTATTTGTATATAATGAAGAATACCTTTACTATAGTTTATAACATTATTAGTTTTTTTTTTTTTTTTGAAAAAATTTTTTAGGAAAAAACTATTTTTTACCTTGTTTTTTTGGATTGCCTTTTTTTTTTTTTTTTTTTTGGTACCAGGGATTGAACCAGTGGCGCTTAACCACATCACCAGCCGTTTAATATATTTTATTTAGAGACAGGGTCTTGCTGAATTGCTCAGGGCCTTACTAAGTTGCTGAGGCTGGCATTGAACTGTTGATCCTCCTACCTCAGCCTCCTGAGCCATTGGGATTACAAGTGTTTCTGGATGGTATGGCTTATTATAATAGGATTGTCAAGAAAATTATCTCATAGATAATTATCAAAATTATCTGATATGATATCTGGAATAAAAACATGTTTGTGTGTTTTTTCAATTACAGACTGATTATTTGATTGAAAAACTAAGAATATGAAAATACCAACAATGGAAGACTTTCCTAATCTTGGCTCAGTATGAACTAATATTTTGATTTCTAATTGCAATTTTAAGGTTTGTTGGGTTTTACCAGAGGCTGTTGCTGAGTAGCCTTAAAATCTTTTCTGAACGTCTGTTTTCTAAGGTCTATGATATAGTTATGTGAATACTTTTATCACTGACTTTTTCTGTTGTAATGGTTGTCTAAGGATTTTGTACATCAAATACTATAGATAAAATTCCTTTAAAATCAAATTATTAATCAAGGGCTCTGTATTTTTTAAAAAGCTCAAGTAATTTCATTTCTCAGTAGTCTTAATAGTGATTTATTTATGAAGATTAAACTGATATAGAAAGTAATTTATTGGAACGTTTATTAGTATGAGGGAGAAAAAGAAATTAGCTATTTCTTAATCATTCTGCATAAATTTTCAAAATAAAGAATACCATACTACACAGTAATCTCTGCTTGAGGAGGAAACACTTATGTATGTGTTACTTTTTACTCAAATTTTAAATAATATGTTCCAAGACCCTACCTGGGTACCTGAAACCCAAGGTAGAACCAAACCATATATATATATTATTATTATTTTCCTATACATACATATCTGTGATAAAATGTAAATTATTAAGCAAATTAAGAGTTAACATAACTAATAATAAAATAGAATAATTGTAACAATATGTTTTAATATAATCACAGAATCACTATTGTCCTTGGGGCCATTATTAAGTAAAATAAAGATTACTTGAATACTGTGAAACTAGGAGAGTATGATAACTGAGATTGTTATTAAGTGACTAACAGTGACTAATCATCCATGCATCGTGTACTGCATGGATGATTTGCATCCCAGGTTGGATGGAGCAGGACAGTATGAAATTTTATTATCATGCTACTCAAAATGGCTGACAATTTAAAATGTATGAGGTATGTATTTCTGGAATTTTTATTTAAAAATTTCAAACTACTGTTGACATTGGGTGACTGAAACTGTGGAAAGTAAAAACTTCAGATGGGGGGCTAATATAATGTGATTTCTAACAGGGATTTACAATAATAAGCAATTTGTTATATAACAATCCACTATAATAGAATACCTATAAGAACATAAAAGAGGAAGAAGCATAAAATATTGTATTAAAACTGGCAGAAACTGTTGCTTTTTATGTCATGCTTTTTTTTACCAAAGGAGAATTAGAATAAAAAGTGATTAGACCTACTTGTATTATAAAAAGGACCTGATTTGAAAATAGAAAGAGAAAGGCTTATATGAGAAATTTTATTTGAATAATGATGTTAATAACATTATTGTATATCATTTCACAAAGCATGTTTCCTTAGGAATGGTCTTTGGTGCTAATCTATGGTCACATTAGTGAATGTGAATGAAAAAATGAAATAGGCACTGAAAGATAATCCCTAGTGGCTATTGATACCATGTACATGAAAAGAAATGAATATAAAGATTAATGTATTGCTGGATTACTAGTTTTCACTCCTTGTTTTGGCATATTAAACATAGTTTTAAGTAATAAAATACCTATTACAATGCTTAGTTATAACATCTGGAGTCAATTTTGTTAAGTTTGTTCATTAATTTATTTAGCAAACATTTATTGGGCATTTTCCATGTATCAGATACTGCCAGGATCAGGGAATAAAGAAACGAGAAAGGACAATCTGCCTTTAATTGCTTATATAGGAGCCTGACAAAAATCAGTCAGTAGAATTTGGTGTGTTGGGTGTCATGAGGTTTAGAGAAGAGGCTGTGGAGGGGCAACCACTTCTGAGAACAGGTAGTAGTAAAAATGAGTATTCAAGACTCATTCTTTGGAAGGTAGACAGTGGATTTTAGACTGAGAAAACCACATATTGTTTTTCATGACGTTTACATTCACTATTAATTTACAATTGGCATGAATGTTCTAATTTCAGCTTATTTGCTGAAGGTGGAAAGTGGGATTTGCAGGGATTATGGGTTCCCAAAATTGTATGTTTGTCAGTATTGTTTTGTGAAATAGCTGAGCATTTATAATAATAGTTACAAGCTTCTATAAATCAGTTATAAAATATGATTAGCTTCAGGGAAGAAATTTTAACATGTGCAGGCTTTGAATGTTTTATTATGTGAACTGGCAATGATATACATGAGATTATTATGACAATGACATGACAGATATTTAAGGAATTCTAAAATGCTTTATGGATCTCCAAAAATGTGAATAGCCAAGTGACTCCATTTATATAGCTTTACAACCTTGCGTAAATTTTCTTTGTTGTAAAACCTTTGGAAATACATTTTTAATAGAGGTTCTCTTTACTTGGTAAAATTAATAATCAAATGACTACAAATAAAATTAACTTAGCCTTTTTTGGGGAGAGAGGGTAGTCTGAGCATTTAACTCCTTACCTGTCTATAAACATTAATTCAAAGCAACGTTAAGTCATAACCTGTCTTAAAAATGTTTAGTATAGAGAATATGTATGTGCATGTTGTGATGTTATTCATATAGTTATGGAATAATAAAATTATTATAATGAACTACTTCAAACTGTGCTTACTTACAAGAAAATGAAATAAAAAATAGAAAAATACTGTGTCAAGTTTTGCCTCTGTAGACTCTTTTTTTAAATATATTTTCTTTAGTTATAGGTGGACACAATTTTTATTTTTACTTTATGTGGTGCTGAGGATCAAACCCATGGTCTTGCACGTGCTAGGTGGCGCTCTACTTTTGAGCCACAACCCCAGTCCCTCTGTGGACTCTTAATAATACTAAAAACATGTTCAAATGGTGTTTGATAAATTGGCTGATAACAGTGCACAAAAGGTTCACTCTTGTTTCATACAAAGAATTGAAGGTCAGAGCACAATCTTTGTTATTGCAACACTCAAATATTTCTAGGTTTTGATGTCAAAAAGTCCTCTACAAAACACAAGTTTCATTAAATTTTCAGTATGTACTAGGTACAGGTACTCCCAAGTTACCAAAATGAAGCTGGTACCTGTTTATTCTACTAAAATAAATGCAATAACCATATCTCTAATTCAACTTAAGTTAATTTAATGAAAATGTCTTATCCACTTCTAATTAAGGAGAATCAGATGTATGATTAGTTATTTAAAATCTCATAGGGAGAGATGGAACACAACCAACAATCATGCACTGATTAAACTGAACCCTAAATCAAATATGACTCAACTAAGTTGGTATTAAAATATGCACCTCAAGCTTCAAATTTCCCCCACCCCCAACACATTCATCTGTTCTATCTTTATCAATGGCAACTCCAGTCTTTTGAGTTGCTGAAGTCAAAATCTTGGAGCCATATTTTACTTGTCTTTCACATTCATATCTAACATTAGCAAATCTATTGGCAATATTTTCAAATTATATTCATAATTTTACCACTTCTTACCACTTGTACTATTTTCATCTTGGCCAAGTTATCCTTTCTTTAGATTACAGCAGAAACTTCTTTATTGTGATCTCCCTACTTTTATCCTTGCCCAACTCTGCAGTCTATTCTTAATTCATTGCTCTACTAAATAGAACACATGCCATGTTTCCTCAGGCTCCTAAACACTTTACCTTGAGATTTATACCAAAAGTTTTAGAACCAGGGTGTAACCTTGAAGAAATCCTAAAGCAAAAATCATTTCAATCCTCTTAATGCCCAGTGTCTGTCTTTTCAGATATTCATACTTTCTTGTCTTGATTATTGCTAGAATCTCCTGACTGGGCTCCCTGCCTCTAGTCACTGTCTGCCTAACAGAGTTCTTTCTAAATTACCGCCTAATTTACTAAACTGGGGCTGGGGGATATAGCTCATTGGTACTGCACTTGCCTAATATGCATGAGGCCCTAGGTTCAATCACAAGCACCAAGTAAAAAATTTTAAATCACTAAATTAACCTCATCATCTACCCTCAAGATAATGTTTCAGCTTTTTTATCTGTATTTCTCACACTTGTATCCTAGTGTACCATCCATTTTTAGTGACAACAGTTGTTATAACAACCAACAGTTTTAACATTTTTAGTTGTAACAGTATATTACTAAACTGATCACATCTTTGTAAATATGTTCATCTGGCTCACATATTACTTTCTCTGTGAAGTCTTCTCTGTTGCTTCCCATCCCCAACTGTAGCAATATTGTTTCTTCTGCTTCAACCCTAGCATGGACATTTTATGCAACCTAGTCAAGATAGAATGGGCTCTCTCTTATCACTGGATTTTGAGCTCTTGGAGTTGGGGGCTTATTTTATTTTTTAACCTTATCTTTGTAACTCCATTGCCTTATTCTAGTGAATGATTGATGTGACTTGTCAGTAAATGTAATTTAATCTCTGAATGCCTTCACATATTACCATAACAAACCAAAATGACTGAAGACCATAATTTTAGGCAAATTTCAATCCAGAAGATTATAATCTAGATGTCAGCTGATCTTTCTGGACTGATATCTTTAATGGCAGTATCATTATCAATATAACTCAAGTGTGAGACTTCTTTTGAGTTTCCAAAGAATTAATTCATATCAGAGATTTTAAAGAGTTTAATATTGAAACTTACAGGGTTATGGGAAAGTATCATAGTTCTTGACATTATTAGATTTGTTCTTTCTCTAAGGGCTTAGGTTCTATACAACATTCCTGGCCCACAGGAAATCACCTATTAAGTGATTATTCTGGATATTTTCATAGCTAAGGAGATTCAAGACTAATTCTCAATTTAGTTGGCCAAAGAGGAATACTTCCTTCTTGATACATCTTCCTCTGAGAAAAATATTTGTGATGGTGACAATTTTGCAAATTTATCATTTGAATTGTCTCCCCAGAGGTGGATAAGGAAACAACAAAACATTAGTCTTTGATGCCTGGGCCTCTAGAGACTCAAAGCTCATCCATCCATCTCCTCCCCCAAGAAGTTATCCTTAAACCTTAGCATTATTCAGCACCTTTTGGTGGATTTTTTAAAAAACAAACTGCTAGGCCCCACCTCCAAAATTTCCGATTCAGCAGGTTTGGGAGTGGGACAGCATTTCTAAATGGTTTCCAGGTGATACTGATGTCCTAGAACCACACTTTGAGAACTACTGCTGTAAGTGATTCTCCAATTTGATTGCACATTAAAATCAACTCAGGAACTTTAAAACTTTATTTCCAGACTGCACTCTAATCAAATTAAATTTGAATCTTGAGTTAGATTCCAGGCCTCAGTATTTAAAAAAACTCTTTAGGTAATCACAATATGCAGCCAATTTTGAGAACCTGTGCTCTATAGGATTGAGTAAAACACTACATTTGACTCTGCTGTTATATAGTAGACTGTCCAAGAAAATCCCTAAAAGGGATTAGGGATGCTCTACAGACTACTATAGGATAAAAGGAAAGGCTTCATGAAGAGTTACTGAAAGGGACTGACAGTGGGTGCTTAATAGAAAAATTGATGCAGATTGGTTCAATCATAACTTTTAAGTGACACAAGAGCCTTAAGAATGAAGACTCAAAGATCCATAGAGCCCTTAGGTTCTATGAAGAGAAAGCAGCCATGGAGTAATAGGATTAGACAAGAAAGGTGTGATTTAATAGAGACAGTGGGGGAACACAGGAAGGCCTATTTAACTGTTCTGGCCCCTGTGCAGCACTCCTTCCACCCTGATGGGGCGGGCAAGACCCCTTCTGAAATGTCAGACAAGGTAGGCCGAAGAATTTCTTTATGGTCCACTCAAAGACAGGTGGGGGAAGATTAGTATTTTTTGGCTTTATGGGCTTGCTTTGGAGTGAAAGAGTTCTAGTTTCTATTATTCCCCATGGGGAAGAGGAATTCTAGTTTTTATGGCTTGACTTGTAGGGGAAAAGTGGAGCAGAAGACAGAGTAGGAAATTTTGTTCCGCGGCCTTCATTTTGGTGTATTCTCATCTGAGCCCCAACACTATATAATTTTTCTACTCCTGGGAAGCAGTTAGGATTAAAAGATGGAGAGTACTGGGAATTATGCTTAAAACAATATGTGCTTAAAAAGCATCTAGAAGGTGAGCTGCATACCTACCTTAAGCAAGAATGTAGTGTTTGTGAATTACTTGCCAAAAGGCCTTTTAATTCAGAAATCAAACTTGGTTGTATTTTAGGAAGGAAGGAAAGGGGAAGGAAGAAGAGAGAATGGGGAAATGAAAGACCTGGCTCATATGAGGCAAATGCGCTGTGACGTTGTACTACTACTGGTTTACAAGTTATGCCCAAGGGAAATAATAAATGGGGTCCATTTCAAAGATTAAATCTATTAATCTATTTAAAATCATGAAAAGTCCACCTAAGCTGCAAAGCTGAAGCTTCTTGAGCAGTGGAGTTAATAATCACTGTCTTGCTTTGACCTTTGTTTGGAGAGGAGTAAAAAAATGAAAACTTAAAATAATTAAACAAAGGAGTGGTCCAGAGAGGAAATTCCGGTAGGCCTTGGGTTAGGCTTCTTTGGGAAAAACTTGGTATTTCAGTCACCTAATAAGATGTGGAGAGAGTTGTCTTCCAGCTTAGTTCAATTAGGCAGCTATCATGTTTATGAATGTATAGCCCTTGACGACCGTGTTTGAATTGTGACAGCATTAGGGTTTATGATGGCCAGGAAAGAAGGCTGAATCCCCAGTTTTCCTTCTCACATTTTTCTATGCGCATAATCTGCTTCCTAGCAAATTAGAGGACATAGTTTGCAAACTAGGGCTTCATGTTTCTTCTGGGGAGTCTTTAGACCATAGAACAGGATTTACTTTTGTCCACCTCTGGAGATTTTGCTTGTTGGAAATTTGACTTCCAGGAGTTGAGTCATTCTTAAATCAAAAAACTCCAGTTGCTCAAGTCTGAATTGGTGCCTCAGAATTTCAACTTGCATTCTTGTTTCTACGGAGCAACCACTATTATTTCTCTCCTTTCATGAACCATATTCATTAACGAATGATACCAGAGACCCCTCTGGCACATCAAGAAATTTGACATTCCCATAATTCCTATATAAGTCGGTACAAAATACTTTTATTTTTTTCTAATTGCAAAAATCTTAACACATTAACTTTTTCTCCTTCCCATTGGATCTCTGATACCCAATCCCTTTTCAAGTGTTAGATGCTCAGCCTGACAGAGATGCATGGGTGTTTTGGACTTATGACCTCGGCCTCGATTTATCAGAATCTGTTCCAGGAAACAACGCTTCTCCTTGCACCAGCTACTTGTACTTGGGCCCCCACCAGACTTAAGCCGCTCCAACAGCTGCAGAGTGCGGACGCCAGGCGTGAAAACTGTCTGCACAGCGCGCGCCCTGTTGAACTTCCGCTTCCGGCCGCCCAGGCTCCGCCTCGGGGAAACGCTCTTTGAGGGGTAGGGGGCGGGGCCAAGCGGGCCGCGCAGGCGCATGGAGAGCAGCCGCAATGGCGCTGCGGTGCACTCTGAACCGGTATCTGCTGCTTATGGCTCAGGAGCACCTGGAATTCCGCCTCCCGGTGAGCTCGCAGCGCCCTTCACAATTCCCGACGGGAGAGGACTGAGCGGTGGGGTCTGGTTGTGGGTGGAGGCTCCCCGCACCTTCAACGCACGCACCGATTCAGGGG